TATTGAATGAAAAATAGGCTTGAAATGCTCAAACTTGAGGTTTGATGCTTTCTCTTTGATTCTCTCTTAATTCTAATTGCTTGATGTTTCTTGTTATTGATCAATGGCTTCTAAGCTTGTTTAAATACACCTTGAATCACTTCTGAACGTTGGGGATGATTAGAGAAGATAATATAGCAGTTTTAGTGTGAAAACAATTAATAAAACAGCTTGGAGCGTGGGGGGAATCGGTACCCCCTATGGGGAATCGGTTCCCCCTATGGGGAATCGGTTCCCTAAGTGTAAAATTCAAATATTTCGACCGTTATACAAGGGGGGAATCGGTACCCCCTGGGGGGGAATCGGTTCCCTCTGAGCATACTGGAATTCTCGGAGCCAAACCATTCAGGGGGGAATCGATACCCCCTTGGGGGGGAATCGGTTCCCTCTGAGCAATCTGGAGATTTTGGCTTTGAAATGGTTCGAAATACTTTGTAAAATTATTTTGAGATTGTTTTAAGATTAAAACTTAATTTTACACTTGAGTAAGGATTAAAAATGATCTTTGAAAGATTTGGAGTAATGTTTTGATATTCGAATAGTTATATCGAATATACTTAGAAAATCATTTGGAAAAATCTTAAAATTCATTTAACTTAATTTGTTATATCGAAATATCAAAATGTTTTCAACAGATACCCATCGGATAATCGGGGAAAACCGTGGGGAAACGGGTATCCCATTTAGCATAAACGGTTATTTAAACGGGTATTGGGCCGGATATATATATATTTAAATTAAATATATAAATATTATATATATATTTTTAATTTAAATTAAATTTATTAATATTATATATATATATATAATAATTATTTTTAATATTTATTGGGCCGGGTATTGGGCCAGGTAATCGGGGCGAGGATTACTAAACTCGTCCCCGTTTAATTCGGTTTTCCCCTTCGGGTTCGGATTTTTTTGCCATCCCTAAGTTTGACTCAAGAAAATAGTATAATTATCCTTTATATATTTATAGATAATTGTAATAATATATTCTTTCTATATTTTTTAAAATAATTCCTTATTTTACTTAATAAAAATATTTTTTAAATATATATTTGTGTTAGAGAGGGTCAGATTTAATTTTATTTTTATCTCAAAAATTGGGTAGAATTTCGGTCGGATGGAGTATCCCTAAACCTTACTAAGTAAGGTGAGAATTTAGGAGTATAATTTTTGAATCGGGTTTAGGCGGATAAAAAATCCACCCCGGTCCATGACCATCACTACATATTATGTATCTAAAATTTTGAATCAATCCAATATATCTATCATGTTGATCCAAAGTGATTATTTATTAATATATATTGAACCATTAATTTTTTTACATAAAAAATAAATAATTAGATATTTTTAATTTATTTAAAATTTGACGTGTATAATCTAATTTTACACTAGCCGGAAGAGAGATCCACTTCAAGATTAACCCGGAAATAAAGATAAAAACCACACTGCAAGATAAAACTAAGCTGACAATGAAAGTAAAATAACTGGATTTCATAGAGTTATTAGACACTGAATCTTAAATTATTGCAGATGATGTACGAGGACATGAAAGACAAGGTGGAACAAGTTGTGGAAAAAGGAGAAATTATCGACGATTACAACACTGATGATCAACGACGTCAAGCTTTTAATCAATGGACCAAAGGCTTTACTCGAATGGATCACCCCACTGTCATTCAGGTTTGCTTATAAATCAAACCCTTTTCTTTCGAAAACAAATTACTATGTTTACTGATAGATTACGAACTGTGATCAGATCATCTTAGATAAGAGCAAAGACAAAGACATATCAGGCCATTCTTTACCAAATCTAGTCTACGTTTCCAGACAGAAGAGCAAGGCTTCACCCCACCACTTTAAAGCCGGAGCTCTTAATGTTTTGGTATGAAAATTAATGAATTGCAGAAACCCTTTATTAGTATGTTAACGATGAGATTAATTAACTTGTTATTGCATTTTTTTCAACGTTGAAGTTACGTGTGTCGGCTGTTATGACAAATGCACCGAGCATCTTAACCCACGATTGCGACATGTACTCCAAAGATCCCCGAACACCTCTTCGTGTTCTGTGTTATTTATCAGACCCTGAGATGAAATCGAATTTGGCATTCATTCAGTTCCGTCAACGGTTTCATGGCCTTAACGAGGATGATATTTATGCTTCCGAGTATAAACGTCTCTTTAAGATCAATTCCTTGGGTTTTGATGGGTTAAAAGGTCCGAACTATGTTCGGATCGGGGTGCTTCTTCATTCGACGGTCTTTTTTTGGTGGTCCGTCGACTCCAGTGACACTCGAAATCTCGGAACTCAACCCGGACCATGCAGTAAACAAGGCGATTACATCAGAAAAGATTATGACATTGGCACACTATGTTGCCGGTTGCAACTATGAGAACCAAACCAAATGGGGCTCTAAGGTAAAGAGGTGATTGATATTACTGTCTTTGCAGAACTTAAATTTGTTAAGTATTTAAAGAGATGATTCGATATTGTTTACAGATGGGATTCAGATATGGATCATTGGTTGAGGACTATTACGCAGGGTATAGGCTTCAATGTGAATGATGGAAGAGCATATTTTGCAACCCTGAAAGGGCTGCATTTTTAGGGGATGTCCCAATCACCCTTGTTGATGTACTTGGCCAATGCAAGAGATGGTGTATAGGTTTATTTGAAGTAACCTTCTCCGAATACAACACTCTCATCTATGGTTCTCAATCCATGGGAGTCCTAATGAGTCTAGCTTATTCTCACTATGCATTTTGGCCCATCTGGTGCATTCCGGTCTCCTTCTATTGTCTCTTCCCTCAATTAGCACTCCTCAACCGAGTTAGCATCTTCCCGAATGCATCTGAACCATGGTTTTTCCTCTATGTTTTCCTCGTCCTATGCGCATACGGGCAAGACTTGCTCGATTTCCTCTTAGGCGGAGGCACGGTCAGAAGGTGGTGGAATGCTCAAAGGTTGTGGATGATAAGGGGACTGACATGTTACTTGTTTGGCTCAATGGAGTACATGTTGAAGTCAATAGGGGTTTCCACACATGGGTTTAGCCTAACGAGCAAGGTGCTTGATGATGCACAAAGCAAGAGATATGGGCAAGGCGTTTTTGAGTTTGGGGTGCCATCACCATTGTTTGTGCCTTTAGCAATGGCTGCAATAATCAACTTGTTTTCATTCATGTCGGGATTGACTGGTTTTTTGAAAGGCAGCAATAACGAAGGCCTAGGCTTGCAGATGATTTTAAGTGGTTTCATTGTCTTGAATTGCCTACCAGTGTATGGAGCCGTTGCTTTGAGGAACGATGCAGGGAAAATGGCAACAAAAATTACTGTCATCTCAACATTTGTGTCAGTGGCTCTTTATTATATCTCTTCGCTCTTTTTATGAAATAATATCTTCGATGTTTGTTTTACGGTTCATGTTCGAGATCTATGAATGTCACTAGTTAAAATATGATTGAAATTATGATTTTACTTTTGTATTCTCTTCTAAATTATCATTGTTTCTCATGACATTGCTTTGCAATGTTAATATATGAAAAATACAAGGACTAAAAACAAAATTAGACCAAAATTACAAGAATAGCAAATAGGTAATAACTCCATAATATAATGTCATGTAGCACCCTTTACCTGAGCATGACAACTGATCGAGCATGTGATGTCACTTTCCGTTAACAAAAAGTACAACTATTGATTTAAAGTTCAATTTAATCAATTGAATGTGGATCGACCAATTAAGGATCAAAGTACAAACATTCAAAACTTGATGTACTTGCTTACATTCTATGATCAAAGACACCGTCCATTAAAAACTCACCATTGATTGAGGACGAATTCAGAATTTAAGCTAATAATTTAAGGGTGAATAGTGCGATTAATCCCAAAAGCACATGAAATAGCCCCTTATTTGACACTTCTGAAAGGCCAACTCCTTATGTGAGCAGTGAGCTACGCCTAAAAGGTTAATCTTTAAATTGAGATTTTAATCACATTATTTTTCAAAATCATTTTTTTTTCATAATTTTAGAATACAAATCACCCATGAACTTGACAATTTTTATTCAATTGACTTACGAACATTTTCCATATTCTTTTAATAATTTCACATAATATATACTTTACATAATTATTTACTATTTTTGTTATAATATGCATAGGGTAATTTTCCATGGGTTCGTCATTGTTGCAATATAAAAAACAAGCAATGATGTGAGGTTCGTTAAAGTGGACTCTGACAATCCATTTTAGGAGAAAATAACACTTTTTTTGGCTTAATTAATTAATTAGTGAAATGCATCCTTAATTAACCTTACTTCAATTTTATTTCTAATTTCTTGTATTGGACCGAGTCTTTCATCACTTATTTTTATGTGCCCCATTGACTTGGGTGGAGGGCGAATACCCTCTAAAAAGCATCTTATTATTCATATATTTGCATTATATATTTGTGTCATTATTTTAATAATAATTTTCAGATAAAAAACTTAAAATTATATATTGTTTTAAGGATCATTTTATAGTGTGTAATATTTTACATAATTTTACTTTCTATTTATATACAAAAAATTTTATTATAGTCCAATTTTCACAAACATTGGTATTGTTTTTTTAAGTAATATCATTTTAAGTTTTTTTTATTGCATAAAAAAGTATAATTATATTTATGAGATGTTTGATAATTTAAAAAAAAAATATTCAAAAATAAAGTATAATAATAATAAAGAATAATTAAAGTGACATCATTAGTTCAGTTAATAATTATATATATAATAATAAAGTATATTAAACTACGGAAGAAAAAATTCACTTCTATCTTTGAAAATGATATTATTAAAGAATATTAATTACTTTGTAAATTTAAAAAATCTTAAATTAACAAATTTCACACTCTATTGTATTACGTGTGTATTTTTGTTATTCCTTCTTCTTCTTCTTCTTCTTCTTCTCTGTCACTCTCCACCAAACAAACAGCACAAAGTGGAAAAGCTTTCCTTCTCAATAGAAAATAAGAAAAAAAAATTAAAGCACAAAATTTCCTTTCCAAATTCTTTCCCGGAAAATGTGCGAACCAGAGGAAGACAAATCATGTCCTTTCCCGCCAAAACAACGGCAGGGGAATATGGATATGGAAGATGCTCTCAATCTCGACAACTCCTGGCCGTTGGATCGACTTCCTTTTGTTTCCAACCCTTCCTCTCCTTTCAACATATCTCCTTCTGAGCAGCCGTTTTCTCCTCTCTGGACTTTCTCTGACGAAGATAATAAGCTCGGGTCTGCCGCCGGTTACAATCTTTTTCTCACGTGTTAGTCTTTTTCGAACTTTATAAATCTCCAAATAGTTTCTTCCTTTTCGGTTGTTTGTCCTGGTTTTCTGATCTGTTTTAGCCGATTCCTTCTTGGGGTTTTCATGGTTTAATTTGTTTAGTTGACTTGCTTGAATTTAATCCTCTTTTCTTTCTTTCTTGAAACCCTGAAAATTCAGAAAATTACTTTTTAAACAGGGTTTGTAAATCCCTCTTTAAGGTTCCCAATACCCGGAATAGAAAAAGGAGATTGACCCAATGATTGAATAAAAATACGACAAGGGTATTAAAGAGTGTTTATGTACATTCAGTGTTTTCATATCGTCTCCAAAATTATTGGGACCTAAATGTTCTATAATTTTCTGGGTTTAGCCTATTATTTCTTGCTAGAAACTGTACATGTTTGCTTAACTAACTTGATTTGTATCATGAACTATATGCTAGATGCAGGCAATTCCAATTCACTGAATGAAATTCCTAAAGAATATGATGATAATAATGGAGGGGTATCTTCTCCGTTTTTGGGAAAGCTGCCACTTGAGAACCCGGATAGTTATTGTGTGATGAAAGAAAGGATGACTCAGGCACTTCGTTACTTCAAAGAATCGACTCAACAACATGTTCTGGCACAGGTCTGGGCACCTGTAAAGAGTGGTGATCGGTATGTTCTAACGACTTCGGGCCAGCCATTTGTTCTCGATCCACATAGCAATGGATTACATAAGTATCGGATGGTTTCTTTGGCGTACGTGTTTTCTGTGGATGGAGAGAGTGATAAGCAGCTTGGGCTTCCCGGTCGTGTTTTCCTGCAGAAATTGCCGGAATGGACTCCGAATGTGCAGTATTATTCAAGCAAGGAGTACTCGCGGCTTGGTCATGCTTTGCAATTCAATGTTCAGGGAACCTTGGCACTGCCAGTGTTTGAACCTTCAATACAGTCTTGTGTTGGTGTACTTGAACTCATAATGACTTCACAGAAGATTAACTATGCACCTGATGTTGATAAAGTGTGCAAAGCCCTTCAGGTGGGGTTTCTTTCCCTTTCTCCATATATCCAGGCCTTGTATTTTCCTTCAAACACTCATGTTCCACGCTTAACCAGGATATGAATATGACCATATTACTTTCAAGAACCCTCCGAAGTTCAAATACATGAAAAAACTTCAAAAAATGAACATATCTGTGTAGGGTATACACTCATATCTGACGCTCACACCTGAATCTAACGTAGAAATCATCTGTACATTCCTTGGAGACTTTTCTGAAGCACCTTTCTTTTTCCCTTTAAAATGCTTTGAGATTCCTTGGTCGTGATTCCAGTTCTTATGCAGGCAGTGAATCTTAAAAGTTCAGATATATTGGATCATCCGACTAGCCAGCCCCAGGTGAAAGCTTAAATGAGTGTTCTTCAAATCTGCTATTCTGTTTGGATACTGCAGAAATGCTGCCTTGTTCTTTCATTTCTTCTATCTGTTACTGATGAAATGCTCTTTTCTCTACCCCAGATTTGCAATAAAAGTCGCCAAAATGCACTGGCTGAAATTTTGGAGATTTTGACAGTTGTCTGTGAAGACCATAAACTACCTTTGTCTCAAACGTGGGTTCCTTGCCAGCATCGTAGTGTTTTGGCCTATGGTGGCGGTCAAAAGAAAAGCTGTACAAGCTTCGATGGTAGCTGCATGGGACAAGTCTGTATGTCAACAACTGATTTGGCATTCTATATTGTAGATGCTCACACATGGGGTTTCCGGGAGGCTTGTCTTGAGCATCACCTACAAAAGGGCCAGGGAGTTGCAGGTCGGGCATTTTTATCCCACACCTTGTGCTTTTGTGCCGACATTACCCAATTTTGCAAAACTGAGTATCCCTTAGTACACTATGCTCGGATGTTCGGATTAGCTGGCTGTTTTGCAATCTGTTTACGGAGTACTTATACCGGAGATGATGATTATGTTCTAGAATTTTTTTTGCCCTCTGCCATTGTTGACAGCAATGAGCAACATACTTTGTTGGGCTCCATATTGGCAACAATGAAGCAGCATTTCCGAAGTCTCAAGGTTGCTTCTGGAGCCAAACTTGAAGAGGATGAAGGATTTATCCAAATCATTGAAGCTTCTTCAGATGGAAGGTTTGATACCATACTTGAATCCGTTCCAATCCCTCTATCTGTGAAATCACCACCTGGTATTAACACTTCACCCGATAGGGAACTAGAACTAGATTTGTCGCAACAGCAATTAACCATGAATCTTGACCCTGCAACTACTGGAGGTAGCATTGCTGCTAGTGGATGTGACAAACCTCTTTGTCTCCTACAGATTAAAGACGAAAAAAAGGATAGGAAACGTGGAAAAACCGAAAAAACAATTAGTCTGGAGGTGCTCCAACAGTATTTTACTGGGAGTCTCAAAGATGCTGCAAAGAGCCTTGGTGGTATGGATATGCTATTTATGAAAGAAAAAAAATCTTTGCCTTTTAACTTTACATTATATAATCTTGAAATATAGTTTTGGTACCTATTGAAAATGAACTGTGCTCTGAAAGATTATTGCTTTACAGTTTGTCCTACCACAATGAAGCGCATCTGCAGGCAGCATGGGATCTCTCGATGGCCATCTCGTGGGATCAATAAAGTTAACCGTTCCCTGAGTACACTAAAATATGCTATCGAATCTGTCAAAGGTGCAGATAGAGCATTTGGTTTAGCTTCACTTGCTAGCAGTTCAGTCCCAGTTGCTGTTGGTTCTGTACCATGGCCAACCAGTTTGAACGGTTCCAATCAACAAAACTCACCAAACGCCAACCTGGTGTTTCAAGGAGAAAAGAGTGATTTTCCTATGTGTAGGACACTGGGAAGTAATGGACAAGTGGAAGAATTGTTGCTGAGAGCGAAGATACCGAACCAAGAACTTTTCTATCAGCAGAATGGACTTTCACCGGACATGGATAAAGGGGGGAAAATGCAAAGGTGTCAAAGAGAAGAGAGTTCAATGATGCCTACTTCTAAGGGTCCATGCATAGGTAACCCTGAAATTGGAACTGCAGGTACTCCTAATCCACTCAGTTCCATCCACGATCAATGCTTTAAAGCACGCAACCATCCTGAACAGGCCTTTCAACATTTAAGGGAACCGAATATATCAGCCACATTCTCAATGCCTGAAGCCCTTGTGGTTACAGAACGTCAAGAGCCCTTTGGAGGTTTACTAGTAGAGGGTGCCGGAAGTTCAAAAGACTTGAGAAACCTATGCTCTTCGGCAGCAGAAGTCGGCGTAGATGAGATGACACCTCCATATTCCAATCTAGCTCACAAGCAGTCCACAACTAGGCAGCATATGAAGAGTGTGACCATTAAGGCTACTTACAGAGAAGAAATAATTAGATTCCGGATCTCCTTAAGTTCTGGTATAATGGAACTGAAAGAGGAAGTGGCCAAGAGGCTGAAAATGGAGGTGGGTACTTTTGATATCAAGTATTTAGATGACGATAATGAATGTGTTTTGATAGCTTGCGATTCCGACCTTCAGGAATGTCTAGATGTTTCAAGTTCATCAGGCAGCAATATCGTTAGAATGTATGTTCATGACACGATGGCCAATCTAGGGAGCTCCTGTGAGAGTACTGGGCAGTTATGATTAGGCTGTAAATATAATTTAGAGTGTAATTTGTATAGTCCTAGAATTCCACGTAAGTGAAAGTGCTGATTTTGGTTCCAAGAGCTGTCTCAAGTTGTAATAAACCTTTCTTTTAGCTAATAAAACTCTCAATTCTAGTCTCTGCTACTATAATTGCAATATATGAATAGTTGCAGTATGGAAAATGTTCATCAAACAAAAACAGAGGTTTTTCAATGGACATTTCAAGCCTGAGAGTGCTCACAGTAGTACTCCTTTGAATTTGAAGCATGGTTAGTGATTGCACATGCAGAGAGCTCACATTAATAAATCTATAGAACTCGCAAGTCAATGGGTTATAAATTCCATTAAATAATTTTAATAGTACAACACTGTGCTCAAATACATTTAGAAGATTAACATACCAGAAGTTAATTTTCTTACATGCGCCTTGATTTTTGCTGCGGAGGGTATCCAGTTATGCCCATTCCTGGATCTTTCCTTCTCAATTGTTGCTGCTGCTGAGGTTGGGTAGCAAGATTCCGTTGCATTGGCATGCCTCCTGGATTCATTCCACCACCCACTCCAGCCTGAGATGGGTAATTATAAGCCATCATGCCCCGAGGCATTCTTTGCATCGGAGGTGGCATAGGTCGGTTCACAGATCCATTTCTCCCTACATGACCACCCATGCTGCCAACTACATTTCCGGATGGCACAGGTTGTGGTTGCTGAATGCTAGTTGTCCCTTCAAAATCACTGTTGTGGTCCACCGTACGAATAGGATAATTGATTATTTTCTCTCCAGGCTGGATGGGTACCAGTGCATTGCGACCCGGTAAAGGTTCACTTCTGAAGTACTCATGCTCTAAGGCCTGTGCGGCTGTTATACGCTTTCGAGGATCATATTCAAGCATCTTAGATAAGAGGTCAAATGCAGGGCTCTTGGGAGAAAGATGAACAACAGTATGGAGTCCAGCATTTTCGTACTTGTGTGCTTGAATGTGCTGCATGTCCGATTGCCAGTGTGGAAGATTTGCAAGCGTGGGCCACTTTTCCAAGGTAGGATGACCCAAAATTTTAAATATCTTGTCTAGCTGATCAAGTTGAAAAGGGTTTGGTGTAGATTTGGCTTCTGCACCTTGAAAAAGTGGCTTCAAAGTCAAAAGCTCAGCAAAAATACAACCAACAGCCCACATATCAACCGCACTGGTATAGTGCTTTGCACCGAGAAGCAATTCAGGTGCTCGATACCAAATAGTTACAACCACGCCGTTTTCAGATAATGGCTTCAAGGGAGCTTCATAAATCCTCGCAAGTCCAAAATCAGCAATTTTGACAGCCCCATGTTCATCACCATCACCCATAACCAATATATTTGATGGCTTTAGATCTCGATGTATGATCCAGTTGCTGTGGAGATAGTTCAGTCCATTGAGCAGCTGCCAGAGCAATGACTTAACAGTGTATTGGTTCATAGCATGGTTAACCTTGTCCCTGTGGTGTCTGATGATTTCATAGAGGTCATATTCAGCGTAGTCAAAAGCCAGATACAACGACATATCTGCATGATTGATGTGCACATTCACAAGCTTTACAACATTCTCATGAGAAATCTCCCTAAGCAACATGATTTCTCGGATAGCAGTGGGGGAGACGCCATCCCCGTCTTTGGACTGCTTGAACTTCTTTATGGCAATGCATTTTCCACGGTTTGTCGGAGACTTGATTCTTGCAAGAAACACGAGACCGTAAGTACCTTCACCGATTTTGCCAAGCAGATTGTACTGTTGCAGCCACTCTGGCTTCTCACTGTTGCTGGATGAAGTATGGTTGGCTGTAATGCCTCTGCCCGAGCTGTTATGGCCATCTCCCATGGTTTCTGTGCTTTATAGCATCGACTATCAGCACCTAACAATAAAGTGTACCGTACGAAGATGATTAGCTCACAATGCCATTACATGTTATTGCAGCTCATAAATGTAATCCCCTAAAATTCATAGAAACACGACAATTTCAAGGAACACATCAATCATATATTTCCAATATTTCAATAGTTAGCTCTAGTTCTCCAAAGATCTTACTTTTATCATTAAACAAAAATCGAATCCCTCAAAAAAGGGCCCCGATTTCAAACAAGTTTCTCTTAACATCAAATAAAGCTAAATAAGTTCAGTCATGCTTAACAAAATTAATCAAGCAACGAAAACACAAAACACCGAGTGAAAATGAAAAATTATAACTCAAATTACATAGCTAGCTTCTATAATTTGCCTAAATTTGAACTTTTCAACTGGCATTAATATCACCTAAGAAAAACAAACGCCAATATTATCTTCACGCAATCCAAAAAACAAATCCGTTTTTTCCCCCACAATTCAATCGACAAACAGAAAAGAAACGAGGGAGGATACCGCAAAATGACTAAGTACAACAACGACGTCGACAAAGGAGTTTCCACGCCACGGGTTCAATTCAGAGTCTCCGAATTCGAAATGGGCTTGTTCACAAGCTTGAACTTTTCGATAAGTCTAATAGACAAAACAAGAGAGAGAGAAACAATCCTTCATGAAAGTATCCGATTACAATAACAGAAATTATAGAAAAGAAGGAAAAAAGGAATTCAAATTATAGAAATAAAACCATCGGTTTCTTTCAAGTTCGAGAGCTAGGGTTCTTCGAGTTACTTGATACTTGCATTTGCTAAAAGGGGAAGGGTCACCTGGTAAGTCAACTCGGTTGGAAAAGTAAACAAAATCAAATATCTATTATTAATCAACTCCTCTATTCATTCGTCTAAAAATATTATAGTAGATCTAGTTTAATCCCCCCTCCCCAAATCTTTCTTTTTTTTATTAATTTTTATTTTTATAATTTATTAAAAGAATATTTTTCACACATATTATTAGTGACTCAAATAACAAATGTCATATATATATATATATATATAATAGGAAAAACTTTCGAGATAATATTCTGGAAAATATTAATTCACGAGATAATGCACTTCCCATATTAATTGTTCAAATAAGGTAAAATCCACAGTGTTGGCCGTAGGTCGACATGCCTTCCGGGCGACCTACTACGTGGCCAGCTTTCTGACGAACTCACAGAGAGAATGAACGTGTTGCATGGCACATGCACGTCCCAACACATAGGTCGCCATGCCCTCGGCCGATCTTGCATGTTGCCATGCACTCCGGGCGACCTACCCTTGCTCCCTCGTTCAGATGCCCTCGCATAGCTCGCTCGGCTGCCTTCGGATTCTCTCGCATAGCTCGCTCGGCTGCCCTCGCATAACTCGCTCGGATGGCCTCGATCGGATGGCCTCGGTCGGATGGCCTCGGATGCTCTCGCATAGCTCGGTCGGATGGTCTCGGATGCCCAGCGTGTTGGGACGTGAATGGCACATGCAATCTCTCGTAGCTCGCCGGGAAGACATGGCGACCTAGTAGGTCGCCCGGAAGGCATGGCGACCTACGGCCAATACTGTGAATTTCACTCTATTTGAACAATTAATCTTGGAAGTACATTATCTCGTGAATTAATTTCTTCCAGAATATTATCTAGAAAGTTTTGCCTATATAATAAGGTATTTTTGCAAGAATCTTATATAATATTATAATTTAATCTTGTGATAAATGATATCAAAATAATTTTTTGATTATTTGATTTTATATTAAGTGTTTTAATAAATAAGATAAATATAATAAATAAAACTGACGATTGATCGTGACGAAGGCATCATAAGATTAAATTAGAAAGTTTCACTCTTTTTAAAAGATAGGAACATTAATCTTACATGAAAAGAGAAGAGAAAGAAATCCTGGAAAGAGCTACAAGACTTCATCTGATATTTGTGACAGCAAAAATAGTGAGCTGTTGTACATAAGCATGGAAACCGAACCAGCCTCGGGTCTTGTGAATTGCTTTTAAACTTTCCAATGATTTTAATATAAAAGTTATGGTGCATACCTTTACTTATAAACTTATTTTTTAACATTTTTAATTGGTACTTTTTGATTTAATACTTATTTTAAAGAATTTCATATAATAAAATTAATTTTAATAATGAAAAATGCATAAATGAAATATATATATTTTTAATATTGATTTCCTAAAGTCAACTGTGAAGCCGAGGGATTCGCTTGGGAAAGCGTCATTCAGGGAAGAAACCTTAGCTTGAACGATCACTGGTCTTCAAATTGCTGATAATGAAGACACCATACAAACCTTCATCATTCAATCGGATGCGAACCCATATGGAGTAATTGAAGTCAAGGCATTTAATGGATATCTCAAGTCTCAGAGTATTCGACTCGAGAAATCGATTTTTCCTACTCGAATCAACTTCGAATTATAATTTTATAAACTCGATTCGAAAAATTTTCAAGTTCAAAACGAGTTGTAAAATACAATTTAAATAACTCGAATAACTCAAAATTTTTAATAGTTACTGAATTAATTTTCAAGTTTTATTCGAATCCCTCGACTCCATAATATATATATATATATATATATATATATATATATATATATATATATATATATATATATATATATATATATATATATATATATTACATATGAAAAAAATAAAAAAAAATATATGTATTGTATATTATTATAAAAAACTAATTAAATTAGAATCAAATAATATCATAATATAAATATTTACAATTAAGTTCTAACATAAACTTGAAAATTCAACTCGATTTGATTTAACTCAGAAAAATTTCAAGTCAAGTTCGAGTTATAAAATATAACTCGTTAACTCAAATAACTCGAAATTTTTTTATTCGACTCGATTCGATAGATCTCCCCTACTTGAGAGTGTGCTCACAGTAGTCTATGACTTCGAATTCATGAAGTATATTTTAATCATATACTGAAGTTTAATGAATACCGTGATTGAACAAGCAAAGAGCTCACATTAATAAATCTATAGAGCTCGAAAGACAATGGTTTATAAATTCATGAAGTAAGTTTTAATCATATACTGAAGTTGAATGAATACAATAACTCACTCAATTCCAGCCAGATGAGTAGCACATGAGGAGTTATTTTCCTTACATGCGTCTTGATTTTTGCGGCGGAGCGTATCCACTCGTGCCCATTCCCGGATCCTTCCTTTTCATCTGTTGCTGCTGCTGAGCTTGGGCAGCAAG